TAGCAAAAACCTCTCCAAAACAAAAGCAGCAAATTGAGAAGTTTATGGAATGCATTTAAGAGGAAAACATTGATGGATTTTATTTATTTATTTATTTATTTATTTTAAAAATTATTTTATTTAACTTTATTAATTTATTTATTTTAATTTGACCAGAGAGGGACACAGAGAGAGAGAAAGAAAGTGAGAAAGCAGGCCACCAGGTCCAGGACTTGAACCATGTTCGAACGTGTGGGAGTCAAGCACACTTAACCATTATACCACCAGCTGGCCCCAAGTAAGAAATCACCACCCAGGTACGATGGTCATGCCACAGTCCCTTCTCCTCTCAGGATTTTGATCACGTACACACGCACACCCGTGATGAGTTTTAAGCCACCGGGTCTGGGACTCAAACCGTGGTCGACTATGTGGACATCCAGTGACGTAACCATGACTCCATCTGCCGGTCCCTATTATTTGAAATTCTAATGCTCAGCAAGAATAGATGGTGAAAACAATGGTTAGTGCCTGGCAGTGAAAAAGAAAAAGAATTGAGAAAGGAAGACAAGGAAGATGATGATGATATTGAATTAAAAGAGGAATGGCGGCTGGAAAATCAGCAAGAAAGAAGAACAGATCAGTGGCAGAGAGGGAGGGCTTGACCTGGCTCTTACAGAGGTTTAAAGGTACTATATTTTATTAATGCAAAAATGGCACTTCCTTCATAAATAGGATGCATCTCATAAATAATGCATACCAGAGTTTAATTGGCAATATTGTTTCTTAGTGGTTGCCTTGGTCATTTAAAAAAAGTGTATCTATTTATTTTTTTTCACATTGCTAACAGAAACACCCGAAACTGGGTGATTTAAAAAGAAACTTATTTGCAAAACTCATGATTCTGGTGGCTGGAAAGTCTGAAGTATCACAAAACAGCAGAAGGCAGGACTCAGCAGAACGAAACATGGTCTATGTCCACGTGTCTTCCTGCTCATAACCCACCGCCACCACTTACGCGGCCCTCCCTTAATGACATCACCAACCTCAAAGCCCCACCCTGGGACGTCTTGGAGAATTTCAGTTTTCACTGAACACCTCCCCAGTACAATCAAGTATCAACACGTGAACACTTGCGGGACATCCAGTCACTGACTCGTAAGACCAAATTCCAAAATAGGAACCTCTGGGGGACAAACTATGATCTGAACTGCAATAGCGGCAGACAAAATAATGATGAGTGTTTTACAGTCGATGGCATTTTAGATGGATATTCGGTAATCCGCAGTTTGCAGGAGCCGCCTTTCACGCAGGTAAGCGGGTAGAGAGTTGAAAACTAGCCAACGATTGCACAAAATTCACAAGGTACCAGATCTACTTTGCAGAATTAGGGGGGCATTCTTCATGAATAACCCCCCATAACCAACACTCTGTTATTTATTCAGCTTTGTTGATCACTACCCATACTGATTCCGAATCTAATCCACAGGACTGCGAGTAAAAGCTCCGCACACTTTAGACAATTTGTAGACTGAAAGGGAGAATTATCATTAAGCTGGGACAACAGATGTGACCCATGGCTGCCTGAGGCAAAGCAGGTGCATGGTTACTCTGGCTACACTCCCTTCCTTTAGGAAGCTGAATGCTCTGAGAACCTCACTAAACAGTGAAATGCTGGGAAAATTTATTTATTTATATTTTAAAATTCTATTATTTATTTTTTATTTTTTGAGTGATTTTTGCTATAGGGCGTGTGCACTCGCCAGAGAGACAGAGACAGACAGAGAGACAGAAAGTGAGAGCACCCCCCAGGGGGAATGGCCATGCCGCAATCCCTTCTCCTCCTTTCTCCTCTGGTGATCTTGGGCACGCACACACACGCACCCGGCGTAAGTTTAAGCCACCGGGTCTGGGACTCAGACTGCGATCCACTACATGGGAGTCGAGTGACATAGCCATTACGCTAACTGCTGGTCCCTTAAAATTCTATTTTTTTAAGAGAGATTTTTGTTATAGAGTACATGTATTCACTAGAGATAGAGACAGGGAGACAGAAAGTGAGAACTCACCCCTGGGGGTATGGCCATGCCACAATCCCTTCTCCTCCATTCTTCTCTCAGGGTATTGGGCTTGCACGCACATGCGCCCAGTGTGAGTTTCAAACCGCTGGGTCTGGGACTCGAACCGTGGTTAGTCATGTGGGAGTCCAGGCGTGTAACCATTACACCATCTGCCAGTCCCTATTTTCTTCTTATTTTTTTTTTTTAGAGATTTTTGTTCTAGAGTACATGAGCTCGCTGGGAGACAGAGAGAAAGTGAGAAATTGTCCCCTGGGGGATGGCCACGCTGCAATCCTTTCTCCTCCATTTTCTTCTCGGGATCTTGGGCACACACACACATGCACCCGGCATGTTTCAAGCCTCCAGGTCTGGGACTCAAAATGCGGTCAGCCATGTGGGAGTCCAGTGCCTTAACCACTACACGACCTGCTGGTCCCATGCTGGAAATGTTGGTTTTTAAATTTGCTATAGGGTGTGTGTGTTGGGGAGAAGAGGAAAGTGAGAAATCACCTGCCAGGAGGACGGCCACGCTGCAGAACTTCTCCATTCTCTCTCAGGATTCTGGGCAGGCAACACACGTCCAGTGTGATTTTCAAGCCGCCAGGTCTGGGACTCAAAGCACGTACGTGGGATCCAGCCTCCTTAACCACACCACCTGCCGGCCCCAAAAAACAAAACCCTTTCTAACCCTGTCACTGCAATGGGAGAGAGGTGATGGACCCAAAATAACGTGACATGAAAAGCCCTTTTCTTTCTTTTTGAGAGAGAGATTTTTGCTATTGGGCGTGTGCATTCACCAGACAGAGAGACAGAGAGACAGAAAACAAGAAATCACCCCCCAGGGGGATGGCCACACCACAATCCCTTCCCCTCCATTCTCTTCCTTGGCTTTTGGACATGCACGCACACACGTCTGGCATGAGTTTCAAGTCACTGGGTCTGGGACTGGAACTGCGGTTGGCCATGTGGGAGTCCAGCACCTTAACCACCCCGCCACCTGCTGGCCCCATGCAAAGCCCTGAGAGGTGAGTTAGGGCCAAGGCTTAGGCTGGCTTCTGAACCTGGAACGCTGGCACTGTCATTTCCCTGGCAATGCATGATGCCAGGGTAAGAGATGGGACCAAGGGCTGCCAAGATGAAGATGAAACGGGACACCCTGTGAGAAGCCTGGGTCCTGAGAGGACAGGCCTGGTGTGTTCAGGAAATGAGGGCTACCTCCCTCCATGCCAAATCCAGGCATCACCAAGAAAAGCCCACTCCTATCTCCAACTGTCACTATGTCATGGGAAAGACTCTCCTTGGGAATCCGCAAATCGCAAAGCTGACTGCTGACAGGACTGTCGTATGAAATCCCACTAAGTGCAAAGTGTTAAACCCCTCAGTGGATAACTTTGTGTGTGTGTGTGTGTGTGTGTGTGTGTGTTTGCTGTAGGGTATGGGTGCCGGAGAGACAGAGAGACAGAAAGAGAAATCAGCCCCACGGGGCATGGCTATGCCACAATCTCTTCTCCATTTTCCTCTCAGGATCTTGGGCACGCATGCGCGCACACGCGCTTGGCATGAATTTAAAGTCACCGGGTCTGGGACTAGAACCATAGTCAACTATATAGGAGTCCAGGGATGTTGCTGGTCCCCCCTCTTCAGTAGAGAACTTAATTGGAAGAGGTTCTGTCCCCAGAGACAGGCAGCTTTCACAGCTTCTCTTAGGAAGAAGTCAGGTTCAACTCAGGCCTCAAAGAACACCCACAAAGTTCTAAGGAAAATGAGAACCTTGGAGTGAAAATTCAGAAGACACATGAGGAAATAAAACACCATAGATAAGAGCCAACAGAAGCAGCTGGCAAAGAAGCCAGACACTGAAATGATCAGACACGATATTTTTAAAAAATGTCTAACAGGAAATTAGATTGCTCCAGAATATAGAAAAAGATACTTAACATCAGTAATAACCACAGAGATGCAAACTAAGCCTTCCGTGTGGGCCAGATGGTGGCAGAGTTGTGAGCGCAGCGCTCTGCGGAGTGGCTGCGCACGGGAGAGGTCCCAGTTTGTGTCCAGAGACCTCACGGAGCACACCACGCACGTGCGTGCCATGACCCAGAGCCCGCTGAGACTGAGGGTGGATGTGTCATTGACACCTTGTCGGGGGTGCTGTCTCTTTCTCTGTCTGTCTGTCTAGCTTATGAAAGAAAAAAATAAAATAAAGCGAATGGAGTCAGCAGAGGGCATGGTAGTTAAGGCATGTGGATGACTGAGGTTAGAGTTCCGAACCTGGTGGCTTGAAAATCACACCAGGCACATGTGTGTGCATGTCCAAAATCCTGAGAGGAGAATAGAGAGGGGATTGTGGCGTGGTCATCCCCCCAGGGGATGATTTCTCTCACTTTCCCTCTCACTGTGTCTGTCCAGTGAGTGTGCACACTCTACGGCAAAACCTAAAAATAAAATAATAAAATAAACTTTAAAAGAAACCTTCAAATGAGATACTAATTCATACTCCTCAGATTGGCAAAAATATTTTAAATTGTCATCACCTGGCATGTGTATGTAAATAAAAACATACCCTCATTCTTGTATTCTATTTTTATTTTACTCCTTCACTCATTTTTATTTTGTTATAGAGTACATGGACTCGCTGGAGAGAGACAAAGAGAGAGAGGGAAAGTGAGGAGGAAGCACACCCCAGGGGATGACCATACCTCAATCCCTTCTCCTCCATTCTCCTCTAGGGATTCTGGGCATGCATGTGCACGTGCCCAGTGTGTTTTTCAAGTCGCCAGGTCCAGGACTCAAACCACACAGCCAGGTGTGTAGGGTCAGTCACTTGAACCACCATGCCACTGACTCGCCCTATGTTTGCATTCTAGAGAAACTCTTACACGTGTATTCCACCAGAACGTCAATAGCACCACTGTTCCTAACAGGGAAAAACCCTGCAAATAACTCCAAGGCTCGCCAATATGAAAATGGGTGAACTGGTGTATTCATACAGTGCCACACAACGAGAATGAAAAGTAATGAGCCTCTCGGCACCAACACATATGAATCCCAAACACAATATTGAACAAGTCCTAGAAGAACACATGCCGTAGGAGCCAGTCCATTCACATAAGTTACAATAGGTACACATTGTTTATGGATACATACAAAGGTGGTAAAACGAAAACGAAAGGCAAGGGAATGATTATCCGGGAATTCAGGATGCGGTCGTCTTGGAAGGGGCAGGTGGCAGGGAGGTATGATCAAGGCAGAGCTGTCAAGAGGTTTCCCAGGCACGTGGCGATAGTCATTCCCTTCGCCTGGGTGGTGTGTATATGATATATTTCACAAGTAATAAAATTAAATATGGAATTATCTTTAAAGTCCTTCTTGGCCCCGTGGGACCCGCTGCTAGAGTGCTGTGTTGGTCACGTTCTCAATTCCAGCTTCCTTGGCCATGAGGTAAAAGGGGCCAGCGTTGGCCAGCAGTTCGTCAGGGCTCCCATACTCTATAATCCTCCCATTGTCAAGGACCATCACCCTGAAACAAGGAGGCCAAAAACGAGTCTTAGAAAGCAGCATCTGAAGTCTTAGCATTATATACAAATCCCTAGGACTTAGTTACGGAATAGTCACAGACGGGGACAGAGTGGTGAAAACGCACGACACACAGCGACCTGCAGCCACACGAATAGATGCTGCAGGCTAATACCAAACAAAAGAACTGGGGCCGGCAGGTGGCATGGTGGTTATGGTGCTAGATCCCATACGATTGATTGACTCCATAGTTTAAATCCCAGAACTGGAGCCTTGAAAAAACATGCTGGGCCTGTGTATGTGTACCCAAAATCCAGAGAGGAGAATGGAGGGAGAAGGGATTGTGGTGTGGCCAATCCCCCTTGGGGGATGATTTCTCACTTTCCCTCTCTCTCTGGTAAGCACACGTATCCTATGGCAAAAATGAAAAAACAAACAAACAAGCAAACAAAAGACTCAAATAATAGAGGTATACATGTAGTCTGATCTACTCATATGGTATTTCACAGTTCACACTGTTTATAGACAGATTGGCTTATAATGGGAGCCTTTCCTCTTCAAGCAGTTTTCTCCCAGATTACTGACCATTGCATGTGATATGGCAGAGTCAGATGAAAGCAAAAAGCAACTCACCATTTTACAGGGGCAGCAGCTGAAACCCAGGACAGTAGGTCCATGGTTACCATGCACCAATCGTCCCTTGGGCCTCCAGCTCCCCATACTCAGTTTATGGTTAAAACCCACAATTTCCTATTTTTGCCCTCAAAACAGATCTTTGGACTCCATTAGCGTTCATCAGCTTGAGGCACGATTGTGGCCAATCTATTTGCAATTGCTAGGCCTCAGTTTCCTCTTCACTAAAATGAGGGTGGGCGAAGCGTCTGCTGTCAGATACCTCATAGCTGGCGTGCTTAGTACTGACCAAGCTCGGGCCATGCCTGTGGCTCACCTGTCGCTGTCCATGATGGTGTGCAGCCGGTGGGCGATGGTGATCACTGTGCACTGGGAGAACTCACTGCGGATGGTTGTCTGAATGAGCTGATCTGTCTCCAGGTCCACTGCAGCGGTGGCCTCGTCCAGGACCAGAATCTTGGATTTCCGGAGCAGAGCCCGGCCCAGGCACAGGAGCTGCCTCTGTCCAATGCTGCAACCAATGGAAGAGACCAAGCGTTAGTTGCTGGAGATGGAGGGAAAATCTGGAACAGGGGACAGTTCCCATGTTCCACATCAGACTTTCAAAACTTCATCCAAGATGGCCCTAGAATGCTTTAGCCTCTCTTACCAGTCCCCATTTCAAGGCCTGCCACAGATCTTTATGAACACAAAATTCAGATTTCTGGGCCCTGACTTATTCAGGAAGATGAGGAAGAGCCTGAGGAAGGCATGTGTATAATAGGCGCCCAGGTGATATCTGTGTTTAAACAAGTTTGGAAAACACTGGTCCAGGAAAAGTGCTTTGCGGACAGCCACAGAGACAATGATTCCCAAACAACATGAATGCCACCAAGTTCATTTCGGCGATGTTTGGCCTCACACCATTAATATGGGGTGACACTATACTAGAATGCCCTAGTGGCATTTCTCTGTGGCCTCAGCAAATCCATTCATTATTTTAATGTGTAATTCCAGTCTCAAGGCTAATTATTTGTTCAAGGCCTTCTGCCTCGATTAGAGAAGCTATCTAATGAACATGATGTCTTGGTGCGAGATGCAATGTATGTGGAATTCAAATATGCTTGTAAAATGCAAATAGCTTTAATTCGCTAAAAGCCTTTAATGAAGGCTGGACCTCTCACTTCCCTAAAGAAGCTTTGGGAAATGATGTGAAGGAAATATTCAGGAATTTGCTAATTGCTCTTTCCTGCTGTGGCCATTAGGGAACAGATTAAATGGGGTGACTAGACTAAAGTTCCGTAATTCTCTGTAAGAAAATGTCTGCTGGGGATGAGAAGTCATCCAAGATGAACTTCCAGTTTTCCTCTGTAATGTCAGAGCAGAGGCCCTGCAAAACTATTTACCTAGCTTGTACCAAACCCCTGTCTGGGCCGCCTGGACTTTTCAGTTACAGACTGTGTCGAGGGACCTCTTCGGCTTTCGGCTGCTCTCTAAGCCAATGAATTCATCAGGGAATATAAACTTTAATCCCCCAAACAAGGTCTGAAACTCAGGTCTGAAATCCAGACACTGGGAATATCATTTAGATGTCTCAGCATGGATAAGAAAAGGCTGTTGTCTTTTTTTTTTTTTTTTGCTGTAGGGAGCATGCTAGAGAGAGAGAGAGAGAGAGAGAGAGAAAAAACAAGAGAGAGAGAGAAGAAAACCACCCTCAGGGAGATGGCCACTCCACAGTCTTCTCCTCTATCCTCCTCTCTGGATTTCGGGCATGCTTGGCATGATTTTTTCAAGCCCTGGCGTCCCGGACTCAAACCCAGCAGTCGGCCATGTGGGGTCCAGCCACCTTAACCATCATGCCGCCTGCTAGCCTAGGATGGTGTGATTTTCAGTCTTACAAACCGGAAGTCTCAAGCTAACTCCCATCCTGTCATGGAGTCCCACGGGTCCCCTCTGTGGCACTGACCACCCTGGTGGACCCATACAGGTCCGTTTTCCCCTTATGCTGGAAGTGCTGGGAAGTCAGCGGTGCTGTCTGTAGTGTTTGCCCACGTGTCTCCGGTGCCTGGCACCAAGCAGGTGCTAATACGTACTCGTCGGGTGAATCTTTGAATGATCTTGTACATCTGCCTAAAGACCGAGGTTAGTCCTGCTAGCCCCTAAATCTGTTGTGGAAGGATACCAAGACATGGTATCCCTTCTGCCCCGGGGGCTACACATTGAAACCACTGAGTCTCCATTCAGTTTTCTGGGGTGTAGCCTGGACGCTGGGATTTTTTTTTTTTTTTTTTTTTGAGAGATTTTTCATATAAGGTGCGTGCATTCACCGGAAAGACAGAGAGCAACAGAGAGACAGAAAGTGAGAAATCACCCCTCCGGGGGGATGGCCATGCCACAATCCCTTCTCCATTCTCCTCTCGGGATCTTGGGCATGCACACACATGCACCCAGAATGAGCTTAAGCCACTGGACTCAGGACTTGAACCGTGTTCGACTATATGGGAGTCCAGTGACATAACCATTATGCTATCTGCTGGTCCCTGACACTGGGATTTTTTTTAAAGCTTCCTGAGTGAGTCTAGCAGGCGGCCCAGGTAGGAATGACGCAAGGCTTCTCAAGCTATAATGAAAGAATCACCTGGGAATCTTGCTGAACGTGGATGTGACTAGTAGGTCTGGGGCCTGAGATGCTGCATTTACAACGAGCTCCCGGTGAAGGCAGGGCTGCTGGTCCAGCAGCGGAGCTACTGGGCCTCCCTTCCTTCCTGAGCTTCAAGTCCAAATGGCCCACTCCCTGCCTACCACTGCCTAGGCACCTGGGAGTCGGGGTGAGCACGGTCCGTGAGCAGCGGGCTTTGACCGAGGCCGCCTTCAGGGTGTGGAGGAAGTCCTGACTGTCACAGATGGACAGATGAACAGAAACGAGGCAGTGACATGTGTGAAAACACTGAAAAGGTAAGAACTGAGAAGGCAGGAGGGTCTTTGCGTTGATCTGAGGAGCTTCCACAGAGCCTCGGGACTCGCAGACACCCCCCAACACATGATGTCCATTGGAGCAGGATTCTCTAAACCTCCCTGTGCTCCGTCTACACCTCCTACCAATTGAGGCAACAGGACTGCTTTAAGCCTGATTGCTGTGCACGGCCGAGGTGAGAAGCCTGCTCCCCATGCTTCCCTTCGATAGTGGGGTCTGTCCCACTGTGTCGTGTCCCACGATAGGGGACATTTAAGAACAAAAGTTGTCATTTTATAATATAATGTGATCTTTTTTTTTTTTTTTTGAGAGAGGTTTTTGCCATAGGGTGCGTGCACTCGCCAGACAGACAGAAAGAGACAGAGAGACAGAAAGTGAGAAATCACCCCCCAGGGGGCATGGCCACACCTCAATCCCTTTTCTTCCATTCTCCTCTTGGGATCTTGGGCACGCACGCACACACACAAACCCGGCGTGAGTTTTAAGCCACTGGGTCCGGGACGTGAACCGCAGTCGACTACATGGGAGTCCAGCAACATAGCCATTACGCTAACTGCTGGTCCCAATATAATATGATCTTCATTTGGGCCAGCAGGTGGTGTGGTGGTTAAGGGCGCTGGACTCCCATGTGGCTGACTGCGGTTCAAGTCCCAGGCCTGGTGGCTTGCTTTCTCACTTTCCTTCCCTTTCACACAATGTCCCTCTCTGGTCAAATTAAAACAAGCAAATAAACGAATAAAATAAAGTTCAATAAAATAATTTAAAACAAAACAAAACGAAACAAAACAGAGTCACTTGATAAGTTAGAAATTAGACCTGGATGGCGACACTTCCGCAAGGCCATTATCACCTAGCACAAGCAGGAGGAGCAGTCCCTCACATCCTCCTCCTCCCTCACCCTCCTCCCACCTGTGGGGAAAGGGGGTGAGACATTACCTCAGGTTGTCACCGGCCTCTGTCACTTCATGGGACAAGCCAAGCGGCTGGCTGGCCACGAAGGACTTGAGGTGAGCCAGCTCCAGGGCTTTCCAAATCTCCTCATCTGAGTAATTGTTGAAAGGGTCCAGGTTCATCCTCAGGCTTCCCGAGAACAGGATGGGATCCTGCGAGTCAGAAAAGGACCTAGTAGCTTCCTGGGTTCAGGAGCAGGTGGGCAGGACTGGCCCGAGGGGGCACCTCAGGCAGGAAGCTGGTTCTTGGTCAAGCTCCTGCAGATGTCCCCCTTCAAGGCCTGGAGGGGTGCATCCAGGGAGCTAAGCACCGACTAAATTGAGCCCTGGTTTGGTTTTGGTTTTTCATTCTCAGATTCATTTACAGATTTCCAAAATTGCCGAGAGGAATGTCCCACCGCCCCTAATGAGGGTGCCTGCTTTGGAGGTCGAGGGATCAGGAGGGAGCCGAGGAAGGGACAGCACGGCCGCATGGGAAGAACTTATGTGTTTGAAGAGACCAGAGAAAAAAGTGAAAAAGAAAAAAGTACCAAACTGAGCAAACCCCAGATGACCCAAACTACCTCCGGAGAAACCTGGCTAGGGCGAGCGGAGGACAACGTGCTGCAGCAGGCTGCGCCCACCCGAGACCCTCAGGAGGGCCGGGGAGGAAGCCCAAGGGAAGCCTTTCTTGCTGATGCACTAAGCGTTCCGCTGGCTGGCAGAAACCTGCAGCCAATTCCCTCCTCTATCTTTTAACCATATCAAATGGCGGTGTAAAGCTTAACGGCGTCAAGCCTCAGTGGCAAAACTGCCAACGCTGATTGCAGAGGTCTGGCACCCACGGTGGCTGCAGAAACACACACACAAAAAAAAACCCATCTGCTGTGCGACTTCTGTTATGCTGCTGCCACCTACAGGCCAGATGCTGCCAGTCACACGTGCGTGTTACCAATAAGATTGAAAACTTGCATAGTTTACGCTCTGGAAACGCTAGGCGTTGGGCCCGACGGTGGCATGGCCCGCCGGTGGCATGGTGGTGCGGGTTAAGTCCTGGACCCGGTGGTGTGAGGGACACATCGGCACATGTGCAAGCGTGCCCGAAGTCCTGAGGGAAGAATGGGGGAAGACCATAGTGGTGTGGCTATCTCCCCTGGGGGGTGCTTTCATGTTTCCCTCTCTCTTGAGTATGCACGCCCTATAGAAAAGTCCTGTAGCACTAGATCAGGCGTCCTGGCAGACTGTGGGGAGGACACCGCTAAATGAGCAGACATCACAGGGGCGATGTGCGTTTCTTGCAGAAAAGCTGCCTCCCACTGCATATGCCGAGGAGGAATTCTAGAGCTCACCTGGGGGATGATGGTCAGTTTCCCTCGAAGGTCGTGGAGCCCAATGGAAGCAATGTCTACTCCATCAATGGTGATCTGGCCACCGGCAGCCTCTAAGATCCTGAAGAGGCAGTTCGTGAGGGATGACTTCCCAGCGCCTGTCCTGCCCACTACGCCAATCTGTGAACGCAGTTCTTTACGTTAGTTCAACATACAATTCCTGGGGATAAAATGATTTAAACTGGGCCTTTATAATCACGGGGGCTAAGAGGCAGTGCCTGGCTACTTGGTGCTACGATATTGAACTGACTTTTGATTGGGAGAGGCATGCCCAGATATCAGAAAAAGATGGCTCTCCCTCCTCCTGTACCATCGCTTATCGAGAACTACAGGGACTCATGAAAATTGACGTGCTCTCTCGGCAACTGTTGTTGTTACACATTATTATTGGAAATTATGATTCCAAAATTACCCTTGTTTGGGAGTAAGAAGGGGTGGATGGGCCTGCCACCAGCTGGCAGCCGGGCCTGAACTGGACCTCGCATCCTTGTCCAGATTTTTCTCGGTCCTGTGTTAGGACAGGCGTTCCACAGGAAGATGCCCAGCTTCCCAGACCAGCAGACCAAGGCCATTCTCTCTTCAGCTACACCCCTCCCCGCTGCTATTCGCCACGGTTCCTTCCCCAGGCCTGGTGCTCCCTGTTTCCTTCCTAACTTTCTCTTTCCATGCTGAGGCCCTACAGGAAGCGAGACCCAGTCGGCTGGCAGTGAGGCCTAGAAGAGCTGGGCAGAAAGCCCCACAGTTGCAGCAAGTCTGTTTGCCCTGCTGGTGGTCTCCTGCCCTCTGGTGGTAGTCTGCATCCCTACACCTCACAGGAAGAGGAAGTGCCCCACCCTGTCCCTCCTGTCCATCCTACTGCCCTGACCCCACCCTGGTCCCCCGTCCTCTGATCACAAGGCCTCCAACCAGACCTTCCTCTGCTCCACCTACCTTCTCTGTGCTCTTGATGTCACAAGTGATCCCTTTCAGTACCAGATCCAGCTCAGGCCGGTACCGCACTTGGTAGTTGCTAAACTGGATCTCGCCTTTACTGGGCCAACCTGCTGGAGGCCTCTTATCAGTCACCCAGGGTGCCTGGCAAGGAGACAGGATGAGAAGGACTTTACACAGTGGCAACTCAGTCTAGAAGATCTCACAGGACTCACGTCACAGGAGAAGGGGATCAGTGTCCCACAAACCTGTGGGTATCTGCACTGAATAGACTGAACTGGACTTAGACTTCTGGAAGTTTCCTACCTTATTCAATGGAAGAAGCACTCTCCCACAAGGCTGCCCTATGGATCTCCACAAGGAAGCTACTGTTAAACTTGGTGCATTCCAAGGCCTGAATTCCCCCAAACTACTTCCAATTCTAAGTTTGAAGAAACTATGTCCTTTGAGTTAGAACAAAGGAAGCTCTAGCAGAACCATTATGAAATTATGTAAAATATCAAGAAATGATGAAGATGTACTCTTGAAAGAGTAGCCCTCTTTTTTTTTTAGCCTGTCCCTGGGTTTCTCTAATTCCTCCTTACCTCATTTTCCACTTTGATGTACTCATTTATTCGCTCAACAGCCACAATGTTGGTCTCTATCTCTGATGTCATCCTCACCAGCCAGTTGAGGGTTTGTGTAATCTACAAAAGAAACATCAGAAGTCTGAAAATTATCTCAGGCTCAGAAACTGACTTAACTTGTAAAAGTACAAGGTCTAGCCAGTGCCTATTTCATACCCAGCTGTGCTATACTTTGCAAGGGAGAATGAAAAAGTCCAAGAAATCCTTATCTCTCTTGGAGAAGAAATAAGACCAGTGCACTGATGAGCCAGAGAACAATAAGTGCTCAACTGTGTGTGCTCATATGAAGGGCACTATGAGCTGAGATTAGTTTTTCACTAAAGCTGGGGTTGGAAGGGCTGGCCATTAGCAGAATGGAACCAGAAATCAGGTCTCCTGCTGATAAACCTAGAGTTCATTGTTGAGGGGGTGGGTCATGGCTGGTATTATACAAATGGGGACCAACTTAAGAAAGACAGGGCAGGAAAAGGCCTTCCAAAAAGTTGCCTCCTTTCTCTGCGTCCACTTACCAACAGCCTTCGTGTGGGGACAGCCACTTGAACCCCTTGTTGTCTTTTACACTAATAAACTGCAGGCTCCTCCCTGCCATTACAAAGATATCTGATATCATAATCCAACCAGTCTGAGGCCGGGGACCTGTGGGTCACTCATGTGCAGGCTTCTTTCAGGCAAAGACTCTAGAGTTTGCACATATGTGGCAGGGGTGGGGGTGGGGGCTGTGAAGCAGATGATTGTTAGAGAAAGGGAGCCACAGATCACAGAGGGCAGGATCATGGGGACTACAGCAACTGCTCTGCCCAGGGTAAACGGTATGTAATTGCCGATGCTTGGGTAGCCTCGTTTTGGTTCAATCTAATTGTTTCCTGACTCTTGGCTTTGTCTGTCTTGGGTAAATAGGCGTAGAAAGGCAGTGGTATAAGGGACCAAGTGACTCTGGTGAATAAGAGTCCTTTTTGGTGCCCTGGCATAACCACATGGGGCCTTACTGATGTCTAATGAAGACAGCACTATAGGGAACCAGCAGTTAGTGTAATGGCTATGTCGCTGGACTCCCACGTAGTCGACCGCGGTTCACGTACTGGACCCGGTGGCTTAAAACTCACGCCAGGCGCGTGTGCGTGCATGCCCAAGATCCCGAGAGGAGAATGGAAGAGAAGGGATTGTGGCGTGACCATCCCCCCTGGGGGGTGATTTCTCGCTTTCTGTCTCTATGTCTCTCTCTGTCTGTCTGGCGAGCACGCGTGCCCTATAGCAAAAACCTCTCTCTCAAAAAAATAAAAAAAACAAAAAAAACAAAAAAGACAGCACTATAAAGCCCAGTGGTGGCTATACAGACCCCAGAATATAGTGCAAAGACAAACTATGAAAAATGGCCATATGACTCATCAATTGAGCAAATAAGTTACTGAACGTTTCTGTAGTGTAGACCACTGCTTCAGGTGCTGGGAAATGATGCCTGGCACATCCCCAGCAGTCATGCTGGGGGTGCTGCAGTGGATACATTATGGAGCATTATCAGACTCTGTGTTACTTATTCAGATTAGCTCCAATAATTCTGTGATCCAAGAAAAATGCAGAAGTTATTTGTTTAAAAGACCTTCTGGAGACCAGCAGGTGGCATAATGGTTACGTCACTGGATTCCCATGTAATCGACTGCGGTTCGAGTCCCGGAGCTGGAGGCTTAAAACTCAGGGTGCGTGTGCGTGCATGCCCAAAATCCTGAGAGGAGAACAGAGGAGAAGGGATTGTGGCATGACAATCTCTCGTGGTGGGGGGGATTTCTCTCTTTCTGTCTCTCTGCCTCTCAGGCGAACGCATATGCCCTGTAACAAAAGTCTCCTCTCCCCACCTCAAAAAAAAAAAAAAAAAAAAAAAAAAAGAGAGAGAGAAAGAGAGAGAGAAAAAGACATTCTGATTATTGCTGCATTCTGGAGAACAAACAAATTTATTCTCTCTTGACTAGAACCGAGCAATGAGACAAGACGGGGAACTATTAGATTGAAACATGAGATTACCTTCTTCAGCTCTAAAGTCATCAACATTTAGGTTCCCTTTTCCAGATGATATTGGTGCCCACTTAGAAAGGGCAAAGAGTACATGTGTCCATGGGGATAAGGTGGAACCAGGATTTGAACCTCAGTCTCCTCTAGTCCCTCTGGACCTAGAAAGGAATCAAGAACTCCACAGCACACTCCAAATTTAATTTAAGAAGTGCATTTAGCCCAGCTGTGGTGATGCAATTGGCTAAATACCACTGCACAATATTAGAACCACAAGGGAAGCCCAAGTTCAAATCCCAGGTCTACCTGAACACAGCGGGTGTACCCATATATGCCTATGATCCTACAAGGCTCGGGGGAGGATCAAGGCATGGCAAGACCCTGTCAAGGGTACCTGTCTGTCTCTCTCTCATGAAAATTTTAAAAAGAGAAACTTAATTTAAAAAAAAAAAATAGAAGCACACTAATTTAGCCCAACCTCCAACCTTCAGACTCACATTGAGTGCATTGGACAGAACAAAGCCCACAGTGTCCCCGCTGAGGGTGTCTCTGTAAATAACCATCAACAGGGATGCAGAGAAGACGATCAGGTTCCCGACCAGCTCCAGGCGAACTGCAAGCCATCTGTGGGGCAGCAGAACCAGAAAGAGTGGTGTCACTGACTGCCACTTCACCACCTGAACCCACTCAGCACTCAGAACTCTGCAGAGGACCTGAGTTGGCAGGCCTGCTCCCTTAGGAGATGCCTCACTTTGATTTAGAAATACTAGATTCTTGGCACCAGCAGATGGCATAATGGTTATGTTTCTGGACTCCCACGTAGTCGACCACATTTCGAGTCCTGGACCCAGTGGCTTCAAACTCATGCCGGGCACGTGCGAGTGCATGCCCAAAATCCAAAGAGGATGAGAATAGAGAATGGAGGAGAAGGGATTGCGGAGTGGCCATCCCCTCAGGGGGACAATTTCTTGCTTTCTGTCCCTCTTTCTCTGTGTCTCCAGCGAGTGCATGTGCCTTATAGCAAAAATCCCTCTTTCTCTCTCAAAAAAAGAGAAATACTATAGATTCTTAAAGCCCTATTAAATTGTGCAGTTTAAAAAATCAGTTGCATTTTAAAGGCCCTAGAGGAGTTTGCTAAACAGGGAATCCTGCAGTGCAATGGCTCCCAAATGTACAAAATCATAAGATTCACCTGGGGAAATTGTTACAAATGCATGTGAAAAATCTCTAGAACTTTCCAGAAGCTTCTGATTGGAGGGACCTAGGATGGGATTCAGGAATCTGCACTTTTTTGTTTTTAGTTTTTTTTTTTTTTTTTTTTTTTCCTGTAGGGTATGTGCACTTGCCAGGAAGAAACAGAGGTAGAGAGAGGGAGAGAGGGAGAGAGAGAGAGAGAGAGGGAAAGAAGAAAAGTGAGATGTTATATCCCCTCTTCCCCTGGGGATGCCCACTCTGCAATCCCTTCTCCATTCTCCTCTTGGGATTTTGGGCACACACACACACAGACGCCTGGTGTGATTTTTTAAACCGTTAGGTCTGGGCTCAAACCATAGAGTCAGCCATGTGGGATCAAGCTGCAGTAACCTCCATGCCATCTGCAGGCCTAGGGATCTGCATTTTAAACAAACATCTCAAGTGATTTCTTTTGATAAGATTAGGGAAACAACACAGATCCTTATGTGAGTTCGAAAGTAAGCACCACAGGAAGGCTCAATTCCCTCTAGTCCCTCTGGGCCTAGATAGTTTCAAGGTCTGATTTCAGCAGTTGTAAAAGGTGAAAAAGTTAGGGAACCAGCAGTTAGTGTAATGGCTATGTCGCTGGACTCCCACGTAGTCGACTGCGGTTCGCCTCCCAGACGCGGTGGCTTAGAACTCACGCCGGGCGTGTGTGCGGGTGTGCCCAAGATCCCGAGAGGAGAATGGAGGAGAAGGGATTGCGGTGTGGCCATCCCCCCTGGGGGGTGATTTCTCGCTTTCTGTCTCTATGTCTCTGTCTGTCTGGCGAGCGCACGTGCCCTATAGCGAAAATCTCTCAAAAAAAAAAAAAAAGGTGAAAAAGTTGGAGATAGAAGGAAGTTAGGTGGCTGATGACTGAGACATACTGGGGGTGTGTAGAGAATAGGAATACACATATGTAAACATGGTTTATAAAAACGGATCTTCTCAAAACATATTTAAATAGGGGCCAGCAGATGGCGTGGTGGTTAAAGCACTGGATTCCCACATGGCCAACCATGATTCAATCCTGGACCTGGCGGCTTGCTTTCTTACTTTCCCTCTCTCTGTCTCTCAGTCTCTCTGGTGAGCACACGTGCCCTGTAGCAAATTTAAAAGTAATAATCATGATAAATAAAATTAAATAAATAATTTTTTGTGGGGAAGAGGTTTTTGCTATAGGGCACATATACTAGCCAGAAAGACAGAGAGAGACAGAAAGAGAGAAATCACACTCCAGGGGGGATGGCCACACCGCAATCCCTTCTCCTCCATTCTCCTCTTGGGATCTTGGGCTTGCATGCACACACACGCCTGGCGTGAGTTTAAGCCACTGGGTCCAGGACTTGAACCGCTTTTTACTACATGGGAGTCCACTGACATAGCCATTATGCCATCTGCTGGTCTCTAAATAAATAATTTAAAAAATAGTTAAATGTTTGTATCAATCATTCTTTGATGTGTACAAGTCAACAGGATATACATTTTACAGTGGAGTTCTAATAGGATTTACTTATATGTCTGTTTTCTTCTTAGAAAGTCTCCAAGAAATAAAAAGTCTTTACAATGAAATTCCTGGTCCCTCCATGTTCCACATAATACCAAGCATTATTAGCCTGCCCTTAATACTCCAAGACATATTGAAGCTACTAAGAATTTTCCCTTCCAGAAGAGATGTCTTCCTTCAAGAACACATCACTCCCTCCTGGAGAGTAATGCCCCTTCCACTCAGAGATTCTGCTCACAGGATGGGAACTTTCCATTTCTGTTATCAAAGGCTTCGCCTGAAAATTCCCAGCTCTCCCCTCTCCACCTCCGCTTTTCTCACTACCCTAAAACATGAGTATCTTGTCTTTGGAGGGGCCGGCAGGTGGTGTGGTGGTTAAAGGTGCTGGACTCCCACATGGCCGACCACGGTTCAAGTCCCAGACCTGCTGGCTTGCTTTCTCACTTTCCCTCCCTCTTTGTCTCTCTGATCAAACTGGAAAATAATAATAATAAATAGAGATGGATAAAATAACTCTTTAAGAAAATAGGCATAGTCATGCTCAGGGAATCAACTGGAGAATGTGTGTTTCACCCAGCCCTTGTGTGGGAGCTGGGTTACAAGCACCATGGTCATCTAACGCCCACCATAACCCAGTGAGCAATGATGGACGAGCAATCACAAAGACAAAGAAACTGGGCCAGCAGGTGGCGTAGTGGTTAAGGTGTTGGACTCTCACATGGCTGACCGCAGTTTGAGTCCCAGAGGAGGCTTGAAAATTATGCCAAGCACGTGTGCATGCGTGCCCAAAATGCCGGGATGAAATGGAGGAAAAGGGACTGTGGCATGGCCATCTCCGCTGGGAGGTGATTTCTCACTTTCCCTCTCAATATCTCTCTCCCTCCAATGAGCACACATGAAAAACAAAACAAAACACCTTTAAATTTTTGTTGTTGTTTTTGTTAAGAACAACAACAACAATGAAAACCACAGAGAAACAGATTTTTCCTGAGAGGTCAAAGCATTTCATGAGCTTGTTAAATGGCAGAGGTGAGACAGAGACCCAGCCTCTGCTCTGGAGTTACATAGCATGGAGGTGTGTGTGGCCAGAACCGATCTCACGCCACCTGCCATGCCTGCCCTCCCATGGCCAATGTCAAGCAGGCAGAACCCCAAAGCACACACCTGGGTCAATGCCCAGGGGAAGCCTTACCTGTTGGAAACAATCCAGGAAAAGACGCATTTTTGGTTAGTGTCGATCTCTGCCTGGTTGTGCTTGAGAAATCTCTGCTGGTGCTCAAAGGCGCGGATAACAGGCAGCCCTGACACCGTCTCGCTGAAGTGAGAGTAGATTGGGGACCTGGTGACAGAGTCCAGACGTCTCAGCTGGCGGGAAGTAGCCACATAAAACATCTGGACACAAAATGTAGAAAGTCAGCCACATAAGCACGTCACACACGCTGTACCTCCTCCTTCCTGCCCGGGGCCCGACATTTGTCACTTCAATGGCCATTGCTCAGCTCACACCTCAACTGGCTGGAAGCCTGCAGTGTCGTTTCTGGCTAGAACAAGGAGAGAGAGACACTGAGGAAGAGAACAATAGGAAGACTGGGTTTGGTAGAGATCTGAGGAAGACGAGTTTGAATCTGCAAACCACAGGAGTTTTGTCAGCTTAAACGTATTCCTCCCCCACACCTGCATATATGTCCAAACGGTGTCAGTACCAGTTAAAGAAGTGTTAAAGAAGTGGTCTCCCAGAAGGAGTCTGTAAAGGCGGCTGGACCCAGAGGATGTGTAAAGTGGGAACGAGCAGGAAATGGCCAGAGAAAGGTACATTGAGGTTTGGGTAAAAAGGAGAAGAATAGATTCAGTTAAATGACCAAAACTGTGCCTCAGTGGTGTGTGCTGATAAAGAGGGTTCTGGAGGTGTGTGGAATGCTGAGGTTATAAATGGAACTGGGGCCAGCAGGTGGCATGGTGGTTAAGATGCTGGATTCTGATATGGTTGACCACAGTTTGAGTCCTGGATCTAGCAGCTTGCTTTCTCACTCTCACTCTCCCTCTCTCTCTCCCTCTCTCTCTCTTCTCTCTCTCTCTCTTTCTCTCTCTGGTCAAAATAGAAGAATAACAATAACAAATAAAATCTAAAAAAAAATTAAAAATAAAAAAGAACTGGACCTGGATGTAACAGTATAGGCAGGGCCTCTGGCCCGAAGGACGAGGGATGGTGAGTGCACTGTTAGATTCTGTGAGGATTTGTTGAAACCTGGGCAGCTGGGAGTCAGAACACAGAACACGATATCTGGACGTTTCCTCCAATAACCTTGGTTCTTATTCATGGTTTGTTATTAACTGTCAAAGGCTGTCACGGAGATGACAGTGTACCTGAGGAACTTACACGCAGACACCAGGGACGCCACCTTACCACAGGCCGCAAGGCCACGTGCCCCTCACTGGAGGGTCTCCAGAATTATTTCCCCAGGTCAACAGCTCATCACAAAGCTCGGCTCTCAGTCTGCACATCCCCTCAAAGAACACATTGGAATTGAGCCTAAGCCACCCACAGACCCCAGTGAAACTCAACTGTCCTGAGCTGAAGGGAGAGAGACTGCGCTCCTGCCGAAAGGCATCTCTAAGGAGATCAGCCTATTCAAAGCCAGTCGAGGATGCCGCTGTGGTGTAACTCTTCTGCAAAGGATCTGACCATGTGGGGAGGTGGGAGGTTCTAATGCAGCAGCGCGACTTTGTCCATAGTCAATCTCAAAATACTCTTGTATCCAAACATGAAATCTGTCCCACTTAAGCACCTGGGGGGGCAGCAGTTCAGGTAAGATTTGCTGTGAACCACATACCTGTGAATGCAGACAACTCAGCCTCAGGCAGTGGCTACAGGCTCCTAGGTACATCAATCTATGACTAACAGGCAAAGATGCTGGAGATGAATGACTAGTCAGCAATCAGCCAAAGAGAAGGTTGTCAGGAAAGAGCCTGAGTGTTGTGTGTGTGTGTGTGTGTGTGTGTGTGTGTGTTTAAAGAAATTTTTGCTATAGGGCATGTGCATTTGTTGCTGGAGAGACACAGAGAGACAGAGAAACAGAAAGTGAGTAATCACCCTTCAGAGGATGGCCACACTGCAATTCCTTCTCCTCCATTCTCCTCTCAGGATTCTGGGCACACATACACACATGTGCCTAGCATGAGTTTCAAGCCACCAGGTGTGAGATGTGAACCATGGCCAACCACTTGAGACTCCAATGTCTTAACCATTATACCACCTGCTGGCCCCAAGAGCCTGAGATTTCAAAAGTAGAGAGGAAGGAAGACCTAGCTGTTTCTAGACTTACCTGAACAGACACATAAATAATGCCAAGAGGAATGATGATGACGGCAAATATAGGGGTGGCCATGCAGATCATGACGAGGGTGCTGACTATCCCCAGGAAACACAAGATCCAGCTGCGTAAGGATGCAGGGAGGGTGTCATCCACTGTGGAAACGTCCTAGGAAGGAGAGACGGGATACCAGTGGCTCCTGAGACGTCTTACATGACGCTGTGTATTCCCAGAGACTCCTTCACGCAATCATTCCATGATACTCATTTCCAGTAGGCTGTAGGGCTCACCCCCATAACCAGTCTCATTTCTGTACTTTCTACATTTTCCAGAATTCCTCCAGCGAAGTTGGCCTTCACTTTTGTTCACAGTTATGGCAAAGGCTTTCATTCTTCTTAGTGAAATTCCCATTCATCAAATTTTTTAAGCCATTCATAACTATTGTAAGCTAACAGAGCCTTACAGATAAATCCTTGTCTAATAACCAAGTCAGCTCACCTACTATGTCTTTACACAGATCCTCACAGGGCACCTAGAATAGGGTCTGGCACATAAAAACACTGAAGAAACATTTGGAGGTTCTGGTCAACAAGACCCATTACCCACCTTTGACTGAATAACCATTTTATACCCACAAGGTTGTTTCCGCTACCAAGTCTAGAGCTTCTAGGCAAAAGAGAAGTGGGATTGAATGTGATCCCTGCCTGTCCAGGGTTCTAACCAAGGACACACAGGTGAGGCGTTGCCCTATTACCTTCCTGTCAGGCAGAATAAATGAGCAAACACAAACATTCATGGATGACTGGACGGTTTAGAATACACCCAGCAAAGCTGGCTTTTATTCTGGGTTGCCTTTGACTAGATCTCGTGGAGGGCTCTATCGATTCTATGATTAGTAATATGAGAGTATCCAGGCGAGTCCAGATTATCCCTGAAGTCTCCCAACTAGGTTAGGGGTCTTCCAAGAGAGCCCCAAATCACAGATGACTCCTGAGTCAAATCTACCTTGCTGAAAGTCGCAACAGAATGCAGATCACTGTGCCCGGGATCGGCAGAAAAAGCAATCCTCGCTGGCTGTCCGTTCCACACAGATCCCTTCCGCACCTTACCTGGCAGACTCTCTGTCTCTCTTTTTTTCACTTTATCTCCTCTTAAGGGCTGAGCATGGATTCTAGAAGACCTCAGACCAATTTCATCATCTTTTTTGTTTTAAGAATTATTTTATTTATTTATCATTATTATATTTATTTATTTATTTATTTATTTATTATTATTTATTTTTTAATTTGACCAGGGAGAGATAGAGAAAGGGAGAGTGAGAAAGCACACTCCATGGGGGATGGTCACACTACAATCTCTTCTCTGTTTCTCCTTTTCAGATTTTGGGTACGCATAAGCACCCAGTGTGTTTTTCAAGGTGCAGGGTTCTGGGACTTGAACTGCACAGTTGGCTATGTGGGCTCCAGTGGCCTTCACCACCATACCACCACCTGGCCCCTTGCTGATTCTTTTCTTTGGAGAGGTTTTGCTGTAGGGCATGTGCACTCGCCAGACAGAGACAGACAGAGAGACAGAAAGCGAGAAATCACTCCCCGGGGGGATGGCCATGCCATAATCTCTTCTCCTCTATTCTCCTCTTGGGATCTTGGGCACGCACACACATGCGCCCAATGTGAGTTTTAAGCCACTGGGTCCGGGACACGAACCGTGGTCGACTACATGGGAGTCCAGCAACATAGCCATTATGCTAACTGCTGGTCCCAAGGTGAGGGGTTTGATTATTACAGACTATACGTATGTATTGGAATATCACACTGTAACTTTAAATATACATATAATTATTGCATCGATTTTAAAAAAAGGAATGGATTCTCAGTATATGATCATACAGTCCTTGAGATACTTACACCAGCAAACCTGTTCACAATCCGGCCTGTGGGTGTTGTGTCAAAAAACCTCATGGGTGCCCGAAGGATATTGTTCAGCAGTTGCCTGTGTAAGACGTTTGAGGCATGGGTGCAACCATGGACACTCAAGAGATTTCCCACAAGCACACATAAACCTAGAAAAGGAACCAATCTTGTCAGCATCACACACAGGGAGCCCGGAAGATGTGTGCCCAGAGCACAATGGCAAATATTTTGCTGAGTGCACGAAAAGCATGGGGCCTAGACAGACGCCGGGAGTGATGCGTAGCCACCACACATACCTTGTACTACTCCCAGAGCTCCGTACACCCCGACTCTCAGGTCCCTCTGAGACGCTGGATAGCTGGTGCTATTGAAGGTTTTAGAGTCACTGGTCCAAGCACTGAGCCAGAGGTTGGATCCAATAAAAGCCACAGAATTCATTATGAAGGCAAAGATGGAGAGGAGTATCAGCCCCCATCCTACTGCACGTAGGTATTTCAGGTAGACGGAGAACTTCACCTGCAAAACCCCACTTCCATATTAGTGGAATGCCCCAATGACTTTTGGTGAGAAATTACCTAGAACACCAACCCCAGCGGAGGAGGAAAGTTCCCTGGAAAAGTAGGCAGCACAGCTAAATTTGGTCGTCTGTGGCCAGCTCTTCCGCACTGGGCCGGGATAACATTGTAGATCGATCCCGAAATACAGAGCAGGGTAAACAGCCACCTAGTTATCAGTGCGCTTCGAGAGACAATGCAGACGGCGGTTTCCAGAGCAGGACGGGTGGGATTACACGCTGGACCTTGGAAGTTGCCATTTTAACTTGCATTCGTTTTAATGACACTCTCTAGGTCTAGGTCTGATAGACCATTGACGGCATTCCCTGGCTCCCTGAAGTAACTTCTCGAATCACCCTTTCTACTGTTCTCCACCCATCATGGGATCAAACGCTCGTGGAGCGCAAGATGGGATATATTCACAGGAAGCAAGTCGCTCTGCATGGAAGCATGACCTGGCAGAAGGCCCACAGCCTGTTCTCACTCCGAAGCCCTGCAAAGGCCGTGGGGCGTAAGGCTTCTGTGGACGTGCACTCGAGTGCCGTCTAACCTTAAATCTTTCCGGTTCCAAGCCCGACATCACCTCGCGTGCTACTCCCTTTGTTTTCTGTGGTGCTCACCTTTCCAGTTTCCACATACTCCTTCTTAATTAGTTTTTGTCCTTTCACTAGTTCCTTCTCCTCCTTCAGGTTATTCCGAGTTTTCAAGGAGTTTCTCAGGGACTTGGGGTGCCTGCCGCTGGACCTGGAACTGAGATAAAGGGGGAACCTTCTCAGACCGTGCAGGTGCTTCCCAGGGTCTTCTTGCAGGCGACGTCACGGGTGCTCTGCCGGCATGTAAGCTCACCGCGGAGCAGGAGGCCTGGGGAAGCCGACACAACCCCAACCTTTCCCCGCCTGCACGAGACGCGAAGGAAGAGCTGGGAGTGTCCATGGTGCCCACTCTGTTAGGTGCAGCCCACAGAGAGAGGCCACGTGGGAAGGAGGACAAGACGAAGGCTGCAGCCGGGCAACTGACCCACCTGCGGCTCAGCGTCCGCTGGAGGCTGTTCTCCCTTTTCATGGTCAGGGAGACTGCATCCTCAGGGACTTCCTCCACGCTGGCTATCAGCCCAGGGTCCTCGTCGTCGTCACTGCCGTCATTGACTGGGGAGACACATCAGAGCTTAGGGAACTAGCTGCAGAGGGCTCGCATGGCCCGGCTGACAAGGAGAAAGAAGCCCCCCGATCTCTCTGGCTTCGGCAGGGGATCCCAGATGGGCATGTGGGTGCGGTGTTCTACTCACAAACCTGTTCTTTTTATCTCCTCTTCTTCTTTTTTTATTTATTTTTTATTTTCGGGGAGGTTTTTGCTATAGGGTGCGTGCACTTGCCAGGAAGACAGAGACAGAAAGCGAGAAATGATCCCCCAGGGGATATGGCCACACTGCAATCCCTTCTCCTCCATTCTCTTCTCGGGATCTTGGGCACGCACGCACACGCCCAGAGTGAGTTTAAGCCACTGGATCCAGGACTTGAACCGTGGTCGACTACATATGAGTTCAGCGACATAGCCATTACGCTAACTGCTGGTCCCTTCCTACCTCTTATGGAGAAATACCGAGATGAAGGACAGGTCCATATACTTTTGGAAGAGAAAAGGGTCAAAAAGAAGAAGAAAACTCCCAGAAACGTTTTAGTTCCTTTGGAATAGGAAAGAACTTTGAAAGCGTGTGCTAGACAAACACGAGTCACCATCCTCAGCCTAGCCTCAAAAGATGACTGTAAATTGAAAATGCTCATCTGGAAGTTCAAATAATTTAACAAAATTTAATTAATTTAAAGCACTTATTTTTCATGTTTTTAATTATCAGAGGACCCATGTGCTCACTACAGTGTAAAGACAGAGAGAGGAATAAAGCACCCGTGGTGGGTGTGGTCATGCTCAGGCCCCTTCTCCTCTACTCGTCCATCTTGTGGGGATCTGGGGCAAGCACTCACGCCCAGCATGATTTTCAAGCCACCAGGCCGGGACTTGAACTGCAGTCAGTCATGCGGGATCTAGTTTCCCCTAACCACTAGGCAATGGGGCTGGCCCCTAATTTTAAAGCATTTAAAAACATCCCCTGAAAATAAAATAAAGTAAAACATAGTGTGGGTATCAGTGGGAATGGCAGAAAAAGGATCTCCAGAAATCTGTCCCTCTGAAAGATAATAAGAATACTAGCAAACAATGGGAACCAGCAATTAGCGTAATGGCTATGTCGCTGGACTCCCACGTAGTTGACCGCAGTTCGCGTCCCGGACCCTGTGGCTTAAAAGTCACGCCAGGAGCGTGTGCGTGTGTGCCCAAGATCCTGAGAGGAGAATGGAGGAGAAGGGATTGTGGCATGACCATCGCCCCTGGGGGGTGATTTCTCACTTTCTGTCTATGTCTCGAGCGGTCGGACGAGCGCACGCGCCCAATAGTGAAAAACCTCTCCAAAAAAAAAAAAAAAAAGAATACTAGCAAACAAACAAAATAAAATTGCTAAAATTAACTTTTTCCAAAATTTGAAATTACCCAAAAACTTGCACAATTCAAGAAGCGTTTAAAAATTGGGGGCTGGCAGGTGGTGTGGTGGTTAAGAGCACTGGACCCCCACATGGCTGACCACGGTTTGAGTCCCGAA